GACTCTCTGTAAACCGCTTAGAGAGGCCTGAAAGGCCTATGAAGCGGTATATAAGTCTACTGCTATTGCTGCTATTGCTCACCCCTGAAATTCTGTCTTGTGTTTTATTTATGAATACAGCTTTTTATTAATAGCTTTTTAATTAAGTGAAACTATAAGATTTGTCTGTACAGCACAAGATCCAAACATAACTTTCATTTATTTAATTTATATCCCACCTTTGTTTTTACAAGTAACTCAAGATGGCAAACATATCCAACATACCATACCTTCTTCCTATTTTCCCCATAACTGGCTGGGCTAAAAGGGAAAAGCCCAGCTAGCTTTCACAGCTAAGGCTGGATTAGAACTCTTGGTCTCCTGGTTTGTAGTCTGGTGCCTTAACCTTAACCTCTACACTAAACTGGCTGGTTTAGACAACACTTCCTCTTGTCTTTTTGTTATCGTAGATTGTAACTGTTTCAATTGGTTTTAATGATTGGATTTTGTGCTTTAATTGTGCATGCCGCACTGAATCATATTTCAAGTGAGAAGGTCAAGCATATAAACTAAATAAATATTATAAGGTACTATGGCATTGTGACAATAGGTTTAAGCATGACTAAATTGTGTTTTAGCCCATAACACTTTTAAGAAATGATTGTCCACATTCTTAAGCCTAAAATTGTTCTAAAGGTTTTATAAGAGTTGTTGCAGCACTTGTTGTGCAAAATATAATCTGAAAATAAAATAGCACTAAATAGTCCTATTAAAGTCAACCAGCAGGAAAGGACAAAAAATGGATTATAAGGCTCTATACTTTATATAGAAATTTATAATCCAACAGAAGCCATAGAAAATTAAATACCCTAGGCAGAATGTTTACTTGCCCCAGCAAAAGTATTTCCCAGGTTTCTCTGGGCCAATTCTAAATTACTGAAATTATGACAATTCAGCAGTTTATATGATGGATAAGCAAATAAGTGATTACATAATTATAAATTATCACATCAGAATTACATATATAAACGCAATCATAAACAGAACAGACAATTAAAAATAAGCTGCTCTTACATCCATCAACAGTGGAAGCCGAGTAACCCTTTGCATTGGGAGAATGAGGAAGGAGATCATTGGTAAATTCCTACACTCTTCTTGAGTTTCAATCCGCGATAATACTTCCTTGAAGGATGGATTGGTAGCTCTGTCCAAAAGAGCAACAATTTTATAAACAACATTAAATATAAAGGTGATGCATTTAAAAGCCTTTGTCTGAAGAAAAAAAAAGTTTGCCAATAGCTTTCTTGAAAACATAAAAACTAATACCAATAATCACTCATAGATTAGGGTTTTGCCCAAAATTTATAAGACTGTTCTACAAATCTTCTATTAAGATGCAGTAATATCCATAAAACTGTTGCTTATGGTTTTTCAACTCAAAGAAAATGATTAGTTACCACAGAAGCTCTTTCACATGTCTTTAAGTCAAGCGACATTGCAAAAACACAATTATTGTGAAGCTACAGCTATAAGTTATTTATTCTAAATCTATTTTTTTCCTAGAATAGATCTAGTACTAATATGGCAAACTTTTCAGTAAGATTTTTAAATAGAAAATTAACCAAAACATTTTAATAACAATTGTGACTGAAACTTTTTTTTTAGTTTTATCTACAATTATATTAATAGTTTACCCATGATTAACAGATTAACAGAGTTGGAAGGGACCTTGTAGGTCATCCAGTCCAATCCCCTGCTCAAGGAGGAGACCCTACATCATTTCTGACAGGTGGCGGGATGCCTATAGTTAAAGGACAATTTATAAATATATTGAAATACATTAACCCTGTGGGGAATCACTTGAGCAAAATTAAAAAATAGGTCTTCAGGTTAACAATAAGTGTAAATTTACATGTATCAAGTTTATTGTCTCCTTCAATTAGTATGCCTGAAATATTTATTTTTCAAAAACCAAATTTATACATGATTCATAACATCATTTTCCCCAAGCAATTCCAGTGATAGTAGTTTCCACTACTTACAACAGTTTTTGAAGCGTCCGCTGTTGATAGACTTCATTTGTGCAATATTTTATATAAGGATCAAAAGTTGATGTAGTATGCTTTTCTACAATATCACTGATATCATCTATGAAGATGTTACTTCGATGCCTTTCCTCAAGCTCTGTGAAGAACCTGAAACGAACAGAACATTTTTGAAGATTTAATCACAAATTTAATCACAATTTGTTAACTAAAAGCAAAGAGATCCTTAATTGTATTTCCATCCAAACAACTGGTTGCTAGACAGCCTTAAATACTCTATGTAGAACCTTGACCTAATTGTCTGAAAACCATTAACACCTTTTTTTCCTTATTCTGAGATTAGTCTCTCTGGATGGAAGGTGAACAGTAAATTGACTACAGCTGAGACTGCATTCAAAAAGAATGAACGAACATATTTTATAAGTTACTCAACAAACAACTGGAAGAAACTGAATGGAAATACATTTGTTTCAGAAAAAAGAATGTTTGAATTAAATTAGGTTCTTTTATTCCTCATTTAAAACATATGAGGCTGAAATGGGACTTTACTTACTTCTAATGACCAGAAATGTTACATAATGTAGTAGCTCCTGAATGTTTCATTTCCAATAATGCCAGATGGATGGTGATTACTTTCGCCTTTTCTTTGTACATACATACAGTGGATATAAAAAGTCTACACATCCTACATGCCAGGTTTTAGAAATATGACTGCTATCGATCTACAGGGGTTATATTTTTATGCAAAGATTTATTTAAATTTTTAAATTTATATTTTAAAAAAAATTAAGATTTTTTCCAGTGAAGTAAGTAACTGGTAAGAAACTACTGTATCTCTGAAATAATACCTCGACGACACAACTACATTAATAAATTTAGTTCTAGTTAAGGGTTGCTTCATGTAAACAAGGAAGTTCTATACATATAATAACTTTTGTAAATTTACACTTATTGTTAACCTGAAGACCTATGCATACCATAGTAAGCAGATCAGTACAGTTCTCCGCTGGAGACAATCTGGCTTTGGTTTCTCATAGTGCTTATTTAGAATTGGGAAACAAGTTATGAATGACAAGAAACTGAACCCATTGCAGAAATAGACCACCAGAAACAAAAAATTGTGAAGCCCGTATTATTGAAAATGTATTCACAGAAAGAATACATCATTAAAGTACTAAATAGCTATAAATACATGAATGGTCTTTTTGTGTGTTGGAAAAGATATACAGCACTGTATATCCCTATTCAATGGCCTAAAAGTTTTATGACTGCATTCCTGGGACATCCCACAATACTGCCATATCCTCACCAGATATATGAAAAAGATTATATGTGCTCAATATCAAATCAATATCTATTGATTTGTTATTAACAAATCAGCTACTTATAAAAGTTTTATGGATATCAAAGACCTGAACATATCCCTGTTACAGCATGAAAGAAAGAAATGTCTGTATTTATATATATTAGCTTAATATAAAACAACAGGTTAATAAATCACAATGATGCAACTGTTCTAGGTGCCAAAGACATCAAATGTATGATTTTTCAGCCAAGAGAAAGCAAACAATAGTACAAGTAACTCTTATATTAGGCAATGCCCAAGGTGATACTGTTTACTTTATGATATTTTCTTACGTAAGAGTATTTATTTCTTAACTTCTGGTTTCCTTACCTTGATCTGGCATGGTACAGCCATGTATAAGTAACAGATAAATAGTAACTTTGATTCTATTTCAGAAGATCTAGTACAAAATAATCTAAACATGATTAGAAATCTGTAGAATTTACAAACATAATTTAGACCACAAATTAAAGAATCATTGAAATATCCGGCACAATTGAAATCAATAGTTTTTTATAAAATTCACAACCTTACAATAGTATCTGCTAACGAGTTAATCTTTTACGCATATGATTCCCACATATCTCTTAAGGGTTTGGCAAAAGCTGTTTGGTTTAAGACCAGAAAAGATACGATTCTCAACCAGAAATGCCTTAATTGAAGAAATCTGTCAAAGCTTTCAACAGTATTTGTACTATGCACTACACTGTCTGCCAAAAGATTAACACAGCACATATATAAATCTGTTATAATGGAGCTGTGTAACAAATATTCAGCATGCTTCATGAATGTCATTGTATATCTTATAGCAAAGATAGGCAGCATAATATGATTTCAAGCAGTAAAAAATGTTAAGAATTTTTTTAAAAGAAAATCATTCCCATGAACATTCTTTTATCTAGCAGGCATGCTTGGTTAAACTCCATTGATTTTGATACGTCTTAATAACAGATGGAAAATAGCTAAAAGCTCCTTTGATTCAATTCTTGACTTCTTTACGAGCTCACACTGCAAAATTTGACCCACTTAATCACACTCTCATAAATTTGTCCTTTGACTACATTGTCTAAAGCAGGGTCAGCAACCTTAAACACTCAAAGAGCCACAAAAGTCCCCCACCATAGAATCTCCTCCTAGTGCAGCATCCTTTTTCCTTATGAGCCGAGGTGGCGCAGTGGGTAGAGTGCAGTACTGCAGGCCACTTCAGCTGACTGCAGATCTGCAGTTCGGCGGTTCAAATCTCACCGGCTCAGGGTTGACTCAGCCTTCCATCCTTCCGAGGTGGGTAAAATGAGGACCCGGATTGTTGTTGGGGGCAATATGTAAACTGTGTAGACTCTGTAAACCGCTTAGAGAGGGCTGAAAGCCCTATGAAGCGGTATATAAAAATCTGCTATTGCTACTGCTCTGCTGACTGGAAATCCAGTTCCCCCACTATAGTCTTCTCATAGCAGGGCATCCTTTTTCCTCTCCAACCGGAAGTCCAGTTCCCCCATCATTGAGTCTCCTCCTAGCGTGGCATCCTTTTTTCTCTATCTGTCCTAACTGAAAGCCTTCTCAAAGGTGGAGCCGACCGGTGATAGGGAGCCGCAGCAGATGGATAAAAGAGCCACATGCGGCTCCAGAGCCGCTGGTAGCCAACCCCTGGTCTAAAGAAATACAGCAACAATGTACTTGCCAACAATATAAACAGCAACAAACAGATGCATACCACTAACTCTGGTTAATAAAGACTGCTTAATACTTACTTCTTGCTAGCTTCACACACATCCGCAATATTGGAGAAAAGATGATGGCTTTCTGTCTTTGTCATTGTGGAACTCAGTTCTTTGGAATTTTTAAACATCCGAATCAGAATTTCTAGACTGAGAAGATATGAATGTTCCGAAGAGATGACTTCAAATATAGCCTGCATGATCGGGGAATGGGAAGAGTAAAAGAGAAAACTAAAATTATTTCTTTAGATTTTATACAACAAATCATTTCCTAGTAATACATTTTCACAAGAGTATTTTTGAATATCCAGGACAATTATCTTGAAAGAATTAGTCTGAACTATAAATTAAAACATAATACTTGAGTACATGTTTCAACAGTAAGCAAAAATACAAATATGATTTTTAGGACTGTCTTAGCATGTACTTTGTTTAAAACAAAAAACCCTGTAAATTAAACCTGCAAAATTAAATGAAAAGAGGTGAATAAAAATATTTTCCCCTGCTTGGCTAAATCAAGACACAATAAATACATATATTAAACATAGAAAGAACAAAGTATGTAAAAGAGTTAGTTAAGGTAGATTGGGTATCAAAATGTGGCATATTTCAACCATTTTTAAGATTTTTAAAAATGGGGGTATTTTAAAGAGCAAGTGTCAGAAATTTGACTCTGTGGTCTGGATCACAATCTCATCCTTTAAATTACAATGGTTCCCAATGTGGGGCCCACACCCCACAGAGGGGCAATTTGGTTTTTAATGTATGTATATGTATGTGTGTGTGTATATATATAATACACACACACACATACATATACATACACACACACAAAAAAAAAGAAAGAAAAAAAAACTTCCATTAAAAAAATTAAAATGTCAAATTACTTGAAAAATCCTAAGAGATTAAAAAAAAATCAAGCATTAAGAAATCACAAATATCAGCAATCCACTACTGGCTATATTTTCTATTTACCAACATCTTACATTCTTGATACTATAATATATTCTAATAATCCAGGATACAATTTAATAAATCTATATTATTGTAACAGAGTTAAAAAATCCTGTTAATTCAGCTCAAAAATAACAAAAATAAGACAAACCCAGACCTTATAAGATGTGTTCGTTATTGAATATTGAATTGTCCAATATACTTAAAACAAAAATAAACTTTATTAATTTAATACAAAATTAAAATAGTTCATAGTAAAATCAGCAGCAAAGTTGCACAGAATCATCTGCTATCATGTTTTTTATTGAAGGTTGGCTGAATATGAAAAGGATGGGGATCCAGAATATATATATCGTCTCTCAATTATTTTCGCAACTTATTATTCATGATTCAGGTCAATGTACATCCAGTTTGACACAAGGAAAGTGATAAAGAAGAAAACAGCAGACAGAGAAGAATATGAGACTGACTTAATTATTCTTAAATTTCTTTACAACAGCAGTGTCCAAATTTTGGTGAAGGTAGGGGTGCAAAGGACTTACAAGAATTGGTTTGGTTTAATGGTTAAGGCACTAGGCTAAAAAAATAGAAGACTCCAAGTTCTAATTCTACCTTAGGCATGAAGCAACTGGATGATTTATATTCTCTTTCAGCCATATGAAGCTGAAATGGTAAACCATTTCCAAAAATCTTTCCAAGAAACTGCATGGACTAGTCCAGGCAGTCACCAGACATCAACACTGACTCAAAAGCGTACAGACACACAAAAAAACCCAGACCTACATGCCAGTACAAGGTACTTAATTAAAAATTCCCTTTTATGAATGAATGTGAATGTTAAAAAACAACCCTTTTATCTAACAGGACATTTTTATTACCTCAATGGGCATTAGTTATCTTTTACATGATGGCTGTACCACTTTCAATATGATTCTCTGGTTTCCCCCAAAATGTATCTTTTAATGTAGTTTTTATGCAGCCCATTCTTTCATTGTTGTTTTTACAATGAATATTTAGCATACTGATTGAGATCCTGGTGTTCCCTACTGTCACTGTTCTTCAACAGAGTTGAAAGTCCACAGTGAGCTGCTCTGTAGCTATAAAGTCCGTAAGCATTTCAAGCATGCATGCATGTATTTCCGTTCTTCTCAATCTGTGCATTCTTCAGCTGGGTGGGCTTTGACTCCCAAAGTTCTCGCAGTGAAATTCTGGCTTGGAAACCCTGAGAATTAAAGTCCAAATATCTGGAAAATGTCCAGGCTTCTGGGGCAGGCTGGTTAATTGTTTTCAAGTCCTTAATCAACAACCGAGTGAACATAAAGAAGATCTGTATAATATGACTAGAGGCAACAGACGCACTATGACTTACATTCCTGCTATCATCTTGCTCTGAAAACTATGTTTCTGTTGATCTTGTTGCCTTAACTGCAGTTATAAAGAAAGGGTTTGCCTAAAGAGAGCAGCAGTGTTCCATGACTAATTTGTTCTGATCCGATTTGTTTTTAAAGAAAGGACATCAGAGAACTCATCTTCAAGACTATTTAAAGATTCTTTGTTCTCCCTCCTGATGACAGCCCTAATTGATTCCTTCAAAGCTGAGAAATTCAAGACTAGGCATCCCAGTTTTGAAAGTGAAAATGAGATAGTTATATCTGCTTGTGAGCCAAGCAGATAATGAAAACAGCTTTTCAAAGGATTTCAGAAAACTTCCAAACAATTAGGTTTTTTTTTTTAAAAAAAAAAACAGAACAAGGAGTGTTTGAGCTCATGCATATAACCTAGTGATGCTAATTGGAGATGAAGAATGGTAACATATTTTCCAATTCTTATTTCTTACTCAAGACAAATGACAATCTTCATGAGTGACACTCCAAAATGTAGTTTCAGCTCATCTGCGTAACAGCAATGCACACAGATGTTTAAAGCCTGATAGCTGATGAACAGTTGTCAGAAGTATTTAGAGATGAAATGTGCACTGAAGCTTTGAATATGGCACTGAAGAAGTACTTGCATTTATAATTAAAAGGGCTTTAAAACAGTAGGCACATTTTTAAAAGCTAGTGCTTAGGTCCACTGTAGTAATTACATTTAAGATTAGAAAGACTTGTATATAGCAGATACATTTTTAAGAGCTATCTAAGGCCAGATTATTTCTCCTTGGCTTGCATTATCACACAGGTTAAATTTATAAATTGCAACAATAACATCCGAGATAAATCATTATATACAAAATGTATGAACCTTAAACTAATCAGTAAAATGAGTGAAACGGCATCAAAGTGTAAACTGTATTTACATGTATACATTTTACCGTGTTTCTCCAAAAATAAGACAGGGTCTTATTTTCTTTTTACTCCTGAAATAAGTGCTTGGCCTTATTTTCAGGGAGGTCTTATTATTTTTCGGGTGCAGGAGTATCCATGGTCCGCGGATCAGCTGATCCAGAGAGGCCAAAATTTCTGTTTCGGGCACACTCTTGCCAGCCCTAGCATCACTGGGCCTGCTGCTCTTTTTGTGGATGCCACTAAGAGAATGGGCGTGGTAGCTAGAGTTTGCTGGACGACCTCCGCAAGGCCATTCCGCGTGGATGGCAGCTGCATGCAGGGTGCATGGGGCATGTTCCCCCCTTTCCCCCACAGGAAATGGAAGGGACCAGCTGCACATGAGTTTAAATATTTTAGGGGAGGGCTTATTTTAGTACATGCGCTCAAAAGCCCGATTGGGCTTATCATCCAGAGAGGTCTTATTTCCGGGGAAACAGGGTATACTTTATTTATTAAAGCAGTCTAGGTTACATACAGTTTATATTAGAGTGAGAGACTTCTCAACATTCCTGTCCAATGGAACAATTGTACATTTGGGGAATCTTTCTTACCAACATGTAAATTGGCTTCACCATGTAATATTAAGCCTAAGATTTGTTTTAATCAGCTTATTAAAAAAGCCAAGTGATCTAACAGCCAAGCCACAGACGTCACAAACTGTCATGGGGTTCACACCCATCTTAAACCACAAAATATTTGTAACCACCATCACCTTTACCTTTTGCACCTCCTACTTTACCATCTATAGAATTGTACTCGAGCCAATCCAAGAGACTTTTCCCTTTTTCCCTCTTTAGTTTGAATCATTACCCAACCTTGAGCTCCTTTGATTTGGACTGCAGCTGAAGAGAACTGCACCAACTACAACTTTTTCCCTGACAGCTGGCAAGTTCCTATCATTTTAAGAATAAGTTGCTTCTTCCCCACTTTATTCACAGCAGAGTTTAATTTAAAAGGTTAATGTTCCCTCTTTCTTTGGACATTCCCTACCCTGACTTTATGCAGCTTAAAAATCTGACTTCACTTACACTCAGAATGCTCTTTAGGTCCTTCCTTATGATCTCTCATTGAATTGTCAGGACTATTCTGAGGAACAGTTCTCTTGAGTGCAGTCAAGACCAAAAGGAGCTGGAGGAGAGTTTTCCAAACTCATCCAGAAGGCAGCAGAAGCCTCTAGAGGGCTGAGGAGGAGAAAACAACAAATTTTAGGATCACTCCTCCTACTAATACGATAGAAAGATTAGAGATCCAATGCAAGCTCATGAGCAAAGTCACAAAACGGGGAATAAATTATTTCCACATACCTCTAGTCAAATGGCAAAATATAAAAAATGGCAAACATCACAGAGCTCTTTCTCTTGACATACAACCTTCTGCTATTACTGATAAAACACATTTTAAATACATTTTACTGAATATTAGATAAGTATACATAGATATGGTAGAGGGGGTATAAAGAGATATCTCAGCACATCTTTTGGATCACAGCTAACTATACTGTCATTTTTATATGGATGTATCTGATTGTGTGTCTCGTGAAAGATTTCCCAGAGATTATTATTCCTCCTATCAGACCTATGTTACAGTTTTGCATTGCAGCCACAAGAATATTCCAGCAGAATATTTACCAAAAATTTAATGCTATCCAAGTTACTAAACACTACTGCTCCTGGAGGTCTTAGTAATAACTGACTAGATTTGACATCTAGAGCTGAAAGGCAAAAAGCTGTATAGCCTAAATTAATCTCTTGACACCATGTTAGCAAAATAATTTTTCTCGCCTTTAATGATTTGGCATTTTTTTACATTTTGATTTTGCTCCCATCTTTAGCTTTTCTACTTCTGTTGTTGTTTGAGTCAATGAGGTAAATAAACTTTACTATTAACCCCTTTTAACTTTGCAATTCCAAAATTATCAAAAATACATCAAAACTCGCAGAAACAGAATTGGTTATGAGAAAAGTCACTAATATACACTGGTTATTTCTACCTACTTTACATGGGCTAAGGATATTCTTTCCATCATTAACATACCTCCAAAACTACATATTATTTATACTATATATGAATTTATATTTTATATAATCATTTTCTACCAGTAAATATGTACCCACTCTATAAGGGGAAATACAATTTCAGAAAACTTGGATAAAAAGAATGCTATTGTAATTTAGTTCGAAGAAAAAGAGAACTAGAACTTACTGTCTTTATAAAACAAAAGTACTAGAAAGGCATATATTAATAATTGAATTAATTATTATAACACTTACCTCTTGCCTTTTTCTTTCTTCTTGGCTGATGGTCTGAGATAAGCCATTCCTCTTCACCTGAAATAAATGCTTAATTAATATATTTTTATAACTCATACTTTTTAAAAAATATATAGATAGTCCATTTGCTTAACCTAACTCATAAAGCTACTTCATTATACAAACAGCAACTGACAAGTGATGATACCTAAATAATCTGTCAATGTCTCAACCATAGGTAACTTCTCTGCTGTCAGTTCCCTTTACAGGTGTTAGAGATTACTGGAGCTCTGGGCAACCAAAGGTTTTCATTCTGGAAAGATTTTATTATGGCTTCCATAGGTATAAAATTGCCCTGGGAAGGGTATTATTCTTGATTCCCCCATACATTAAGGTGTTGATTTAATTCTACTAGAGCAAGAGTTCTCAAATTATATGACACCCCAGAAATTTCAAGGATGGACCAAGAATATGAAATTTGAGGAGGGGAGCAAAATCCATTCGTAAAATGGGTATTTCTTATATTAAAATTCTAAAAGCTTTGGATTACTGGGGAGGTATGTAGGCTTATGGATCAGTGTGTGAAGATTGGCAGATCGGTGGTGGGCATGTGATAGCAAGAAAGACAAGAACCTTGCAAATATTCACAAATGTGTGGTAAGATTAGAGCCTGGGCAGGCTGTAAGGAGGAGGAACAGAAGACAAACATATGTTATCTCTGTTACTTTATATAATTTTCATTAGATTTTTGTTACATGAAAAAACCATGTGTGCTTATTTTTACTCAAAAAATTAAAAATGTATAGCATGTGTTTGCATTTTATTTAATTAGTTTTTATTTTTTAAAGTGATTGAATTGTTTATAAGGCCAGAGGTCAAATTCAAATAAAATATAATTTACATATGTGTATTATATATGTGTATCTATAGCTCTTTAAATAAAACAGTTAAAAAGAAAAAAAATAGTTTCAAATTGCAAGGAAAGGTAGCACACACGCACGCACACGCGCACACACATACTGGAAGGACATATTTACATATTGGCTGCACACTCCCTACCAATAAATTTGCTGAGGAAATGAGATAGACAAGTCAACTGGAATTCAGCAGAGAGAGACCAGAAAAGTAGCATATGACTCAGGGACATATATACTGATGGTGTAAGGTAAAGGCAAAGGTTCCCCTCGCACATGATGGCGAACCTATAGCACGTGATGGCGAACCTATAGCACATGTGCCACAGGTGGCACATGGAACCATTTGTTAGGACACATGAGGTGTTGTCCTGTCAGCTGGCAGCACGCATGCGCTCACTGTCCAGCTGACTTCAGCCTTCTTTTGAGATTTTTTTCGCCCCCCCTCCCCCGGAGACTTCCTTGAAGCCTCTGGAGCACAAAAAACTGACTTCCAGTTTGCTCACAGGGCCAGTTTTTGCCCTCCAGAGCCTTCAGGGAAGTCTCCTGAAGGCTCCAGAGGTTGAAAATCGGCCCTATGGACAAACCGGAAGTCACCATTCCCAAACATCTGGGTTCCCCGTAGATCCGCTTTTTGCCTTCGGAAGGCTTCAGGGAAGCTCCTGAGGCCTTCGGTGGCTTTAGGGAAGCTCCTGAGGCCTCCGGAGGCCATCTGGGGGAGGTGCCCTCCCCAGCCTCCTAGAAAGCCTCTGGAGCCTTAGGAGGGTGAAAAAACCACGCTAAAAGTGGCGGAGGGGGATGTGTGTGCTGTTCATGCGCACACATGCGCGCGCGGGGAGAACACATGCATAGCATTATGGTATAGCAGTAGACTTATATACCGCTTCATAGGGCTTTCAGCCCTCTCTAAGCGGTTTACAGAGAGTCAGCATATTGCCCCCAACAATCTGGGTCCTCATTTTACCCACCTCGGAAGGATGGAAGGCTGAGTCAACCCTGAGCCGGTGGGATTTGAACCGCTGAACTGCTGATCTAGCAGTAGCTTGCAGTGCTGCATTTAACCACTGCGCCACCTTGATATGGCATGCCTGCACACAACCCACCCTGCGCTACCCCCACTTTTGGCACAGGAGCCAAAAAAGGTTCACCATCACTGTGCTAGTCGTTCCTGACTCTAGGGGGCGGTGCTCATCTCAATTTCAAAGCCAAAGAACCAGTACTGTCCAAAGATGTCTCCATAGTCATGTGGCTGGCATGACTAAATGCCGAATGAGGACAGAATGTTGTTACCTTCCCACCAAAGGGGGTCCCCTATTTTTCTACTTGCATTTTTACATGCTTTTGAACTGCTAGGTTGGCAGAAGCTGGGACAAGTAATGGGAGCTCAACTGCCGACCTTTCTAATCAAGAAGTTCAGCATCTTAGCCACTGAGCCACGGCATCCCTATACTTATAGTGTAAATGTGTTCTTTTTAAGCACCTGAGCAAAATGGCAAAGAACAATAGATCCAACCGGGCCAAATAATTTCAGAACAGTGATAAAGATATAAAGTTAATAGGAAATGGACATATCTAAGCTTTAAGTTTATTATGTTAATAAAACAAAACTATTACTTCATTAAAAGATTAGAATTAAAATTAATCATTTTGTCCCTGTTAGACAGATTCAATCATGCTGATCAAGCTCCTCACATTCCTATAGCCCAAGAATGTCAAACTTGCATGTAAAAAAAAGGAATTCAGGTTTCTATCCCCACTATTTTGTTTTCTTTCCCAGAGAGCAAAATTTGGGACTAATCCAGCAAATTGGTCATTTATAGGTTCTTAGGTAATAAGAAAGGCCATTCTTCTAATGATTTATGAAAGAAAAGTTTAATTGTTCCCTATAACATTTCTTTAGCCATGATTCTCACTGTTCATGAAAGCCAAGGAGCTGTCACCAAGAAAGAAATATTGATATGGTATCTTTAAATACCTTTTTTGGTCTCTCTCTATGCTTCTATCATCAGCTGCCTAAATCTCAATGAATCAAAATTACCTGAAAAGCAAGAATTCATTGAATCTACCACATGTCTCTGTGTAGCTTCACAGGGTATACTTGATACTCCCTGTTAGCAGTCTACTTTTATAATGACTTTACTGTTTTTATGTAACCTGGCAAAAGATGCAGCTATTTTATGATAACTTGAGTTGCAGATAACTTGAAAAACTTACTTATATAACTGAAGATATACTATTGCCAAATGCATTTTCACTTTACTTCCTGGTACGCTCACAATTCAAGCTACTTTCACATGCATATTATTGCCCTGCTATTGCATATTGTGAAAGACAGCGTAGCTTTTACTTCTTTAAACAAAGACACCTTTAAAAACAGCTGAATATATCTTATTTCTAATAGCTTAGAACTATTTTCAAAAGACTTTCTGTTCTGTCCAGCTCCTTTTTTATGCAGTCAATTAAGAAGAGACAAGCAAACTAAAAAAAAAAGACCTTACATAAAACCAGAGCATTGGAAAGAACAAAAAGGATAATAACCCCCACACATAGGTCCAACATCACCCATATATTTCCTATGCATATTACACACACATATATATAAGTGGGGTTGTAACATGCTTTCTTGCTTGTTTAAAGAAGACATTTCTGGTCCACAAGAGATTTTCAGCTGCAATTCCTATTCAACATCTCAATCCTCATCTCTCAATAGTTAATCAGATATTGTTTAACTCAGTTATAATGGTCAAATTTATACATTACTTCAAATCATAAACCATGATTTACAACCTCCAATGGCCATTAAACCAAAACCAAGCAAACTGCACTATGCTAGTTGCAATATGTGTACCAATGCTTATCGGCTATGGGTGGAGTAAAACCTGCAGGGACTTCCTTTACATTTACCAATACAATGTTTCCATGATAAATGTAGCAAATTATGGAAGATTGATTGATTTTAAAGCTCCAATGCATAGTAAGAATCCCATTTCCAGTTCTTTGGATCTAACTCATAAAGTCATATGAGTATCTGGTATCAAATGTTTATGATATAGTAGAATCGATGAGCAACAAACACATTTTGCTTATCATAACTATTTAAAACAAGAGCATAATGAGAACTGTGCTAATTTTTGGATCATACAATCCACACAGCTTGCATCTGATCCTTGCATTATCAAATACAGAAGTCAAGAGGATACAGGTTTACAGAAAATGGGTACATCCTAAGTCTGTGATGGCGAACCTATGGCACGCGGAGCCATTTCTGAAGGCATGCGAGGCGTTGTCCTGTCAGCTCCAGTGCGCATGTGCCCGCTGGCCAGCTGATTTTCGGAAATTTTTTGATTTGGAGGATTCCCTAAAGCCTCCAAAGGGCGAAAAACAGCCCAACGCAAATCAGAAATGAGGAGAGAGCTGCCAGCAAAGGGGTGGGGGGGGGGGGGGGAAGACAAGCGGCAAGGAAAGAGGCTTTTTTCACTCTATTCTATTTCTATTCATTAAATTTATAGGCCGCTCAATCCCGAAGGACTCCGGACGACTTACAGAAATAAAATTTTAAGAGAAAGGTTAAAAAACAAAAGGAAGAAAGCCGCTTAAAAGAAACACATCATGCACCCAGTCTAATCGGGGCTAGACCTCGGTCAAGAGGTCAACAGCCCCAGGCCTGCCGGAATAGCCAGGTTGGCTGCTCTGTTCCCCCCTCCCCCGTGCTACTAAAAAGGATCCTGCCTGATCGCTGGAATCCAAAGAGAAATGAGGAGAGAGTTGCCAGGACGGGTGAAAGACAAACAGCAAGGAAAGAAGAAAAGAGGCTTCTTTTACTCAAGGTGGCTGCTCTGTTGCCCTTTTCTCCATTTCAGTGCCACGCCATCAAGGTTGCCCCACCCCCCATCGCCCAGCTCCTCGCTTCTCCCAAGCATTTCTTTGCCTACCTGATTTCCAGCCCCATCACGTTTCTTGCCATCGTGTGCAGACAAACAAAGTTTTTGGGACTAAAAAAAAATCCAATCAATCAATGACAACTTGGGGAGGGGGGAGATCTTGCGAAGTTGGAATTGATTGAAGGTTTTTTTTTAGTCCCAAAAACTTTGTTTGTCTGCACACGATGGCAAGAA